CTAGATGTGTAAAAAAAATAGTTACCCAAAATGAACAAGACGAAAAGTAAGAGTAAATTACACGAATGGTCCATGTGGTTTGGGGGAATTTGTGTGTTTGGCCCCAAATTTATTTTTTAACTCGGATGATCCCTACTGTTATTTTTGTTGCGCATTTGGTCCTGTCTTACCTAAAAGACTATTGTGCCCTTATTAATTTATTTTTTTAATTAATATTCTTATTTATGTATTTATTCTTTATATATCTAAAAAAATAATAGACACCACATATCTGTATCTCCTCACCATCCCATCTCTCATCCTCCTCAACTTCTATTTCTTTTCCATCTTTAGTGATATCGACGTCTTCACCATCCCTTTTTTTCCGGTCATTCAACTCCGTCGAATCAACACCACAACCTAATAAAGATGAAGAGACAGTGGATTATGGTATTGGTTCGCCAGAGTTGAAGGACCAAAAAAGAAGGATGGTGAAGACGTCGATGTCACTAAAGATGGAAAGGAAATAGAAGTTGAAAGATGGGATGGTAACCGGTGAGACCTAGATTAAATTTCTCAAATGTGGTTTCAGGGTTACGGTGAGGAGATAAAGATATGTGGAGTTTATTAATTTTTTTTAATATTTAAAAAAATAAATACATAATAAAGAAAATTAATTAAAAATTAAATTCATATGAGCATAATAGTCTTTTTATGTAAGACAGGGACTAAACACGCAATAAAAATAAACAGTATGGACCATAAGAGTTAAAAAAATAAGTTAGGGACCAAAAACACAAATTCTCCCAAGCCATAGGACCACTCGTGTAGTTTACTCTTACTTTTTTGGGTAATTATTTTTTTTCATAATGGTCATATGTGAACACTTCCAACAAGTTTGTTACTTAAATGTGTACAAAAAAAAAGATAATTACCTAAATGTGAACAATCCGAAAAATTAATTACCTTAATAAGTCGTGAATAGTCATATATAGTCATATTCACCTGTCGCTACAAGAAATTAGAGTATTACCAGCGACAGACGTCGTCGCTAAAAGTGGGGTTTGTCGCCGCTAATACTATTAGCGGCGACATGTCGTGGCTAAAACGTCGACGCTGATGCTTTGTCGCTATTAATCAAACTGTCGCCGCTAATGCGTGTTGTCGTCGCAAAAGAGTTGTCGCCGCTATTGCTTGGCGTCGCCGCTAAAAACCCGTCGCCGGTAATAACCTATTGTCGCCAATAAAGGCGTCGCCGATATTGGTGTTTTTCTTTTATATATATATATATATATATATATATATATATATATATATATATATATATATATATATATATATATATATATATATATACTTCACATTAAAATTGAAAAAAAAAGAACTGGTATTATATTAAGTAATTTAATCCTACATCATTCCATTCGAAAATATTAATACAACATCCGTTTAAAATACTCGACCGATTTAACATATAACAAAATATCGAAAATACTAGTCTAAAATACTTGCACAAACAAAACATAAAAAATCCTACAACTATCTACTCGTCATCATCGCTCTCCTCGTTTCCTCCAGTTTCATTTCGTTGTGGCAACGAACGAAACTAATCTTCAAGTGCAACACCACATGCCGGATCTTTTAACATTGTTTGAAGCATTTCCAACTACAATTAAAACAACATAGTCTTATAAGTTAAACTAGCATTATAATATTCTATATACAAAATATACATTCCACATATTGCATATAAAACATTATAGCATTGTACTATAACTTACAATTACCAACCTATAAAATACCATTACAGCATTGTACTTTCATAAACTAACAATTACTAAGCTATATAATACCAATATATAGAACTATAACCAAACTAACAATTACCAATATATAAAATATTATCAAACTAACAATTACCAAAATTTGAAACTATTACTAAACCAACAATTACCAACATTTTAAACAATTACCAAAATTAAATAGTCTTGTCACCTGTGATTGTGGCGGTGGCTGTGTCAGTGGTTGTTCCTGATCGTACATCGACATAACCGTAGAAGGTTTACGCCCGATGCCTCTGATATGGCCTCGTCGAACACCCAGTATTCTTTCAAAATAATTTTGTGTCTCCTTTGGTGTTAGACCGCTGGCTTCAGAAGAAGCTTGAGTTTGTTGACTGATCTCAAGGAGTAAAGCATTCTGTATTTTCAAAAAATGATAACACATCATAAAAATTAGATTACTAAATATCCATTGACGATATAAACACTTATATGAAAATACAAATTAACCACTTACGTATTGTTGCTCGACTGCAGGACTACTAAATACCCCTTGACGATCAGTATTGGCCTTACGAAATGCTTCGATTCGAGCGATGTCCTATTTAACATTAAAAATTAGATTAATTATAATTTAAATAAATAGTTAAATATATCATAACATACTTCTTTGAAACATGCATTGCTATACGAGCACGATCCCCTTCTGTTTACAACTTGTTGTTGTGCACAGACTCCTTTGTTTGAAGCCGAACGCTTTAGAAATTCAGGAGTTTGAAAATGTTCGACTGCGTGCGCCCAATTTTCACGTGACATACCATCGGGGGGGGGGGGGGGTTGGCTAATGCCCTTGGGATATCTGTAAGCCCCCCGACATTCTCAAAATAAGTATGCACTTTATTTTTCCGGCCTCTATAAATTCTTTGCAAAGTCGCATCAATGCTCTGCAACAACTGAGCACGCTCGGGATCCAATTTAACCTTATCTAAATCAAACTTATTCTACAAATACAAAAAAGGTAGTTAGTTAAATACCAATCAGAACTAAACTTAAAATATTGTCCAAGTTACCTTTAGATGAACCACTGTGACATTCCTTAAAGCGGGGGAAACATTGTCCCAACCAGATACGTTCAAAGGGATGTTCATCCATATATACCTCCCAATCTCACGGGTAAACCAATTACCATGGTTCCCGATAGGGGAATATGTTAGCTCCCTATCGAAATCCAAATCTACAGGCTTTCCCTTGTTTGCTCGTATCAGCTTTGATAGCTGGATGTTTTTTGCTAGGCCTCTTCTTTTTTTAGGGAGCTCAGCTGAAAAATATAATTAAAAATATTAGTCACGATAGCTTATAATAAATGGATAAAAATAGCTAATAAATATATCATAATAAGACTTACCATCCTGTTCGTGTTGTCCACGACCAAAGCCTACTGGAGGTGGTGGATCCCCGACTCCATCACCTCCATGTCCTAAGCCCATGACATCTGCCATCACGTAGAAGAGTATCGCCCAACTAAACCCCATATATAGCCTGCAAAATTACAATATGAATAGAATTATAGCAACATATTTTTTTTTTCATTTTTTTCAACACATCACATACATAAATACATACATTATACATACAAATACACATATACATGTTTCCTTCACATACTCATTATAGCATCATACTTTTTTTTTTCTATTATAGCAACCTAACTTTTTTTGATTTTTTTTCATACATACAAATTACATATATAATTTCAAAATTCATACATTACATATATAAATACATTTTTTTTCATTTATTCCACATATTACATACATAAATACACACATTATATATACAAATACACATAAACATGTTTTCTACACATACTCATTATAACATCATACTTTTTTTTTTCTATTATAGCAACCTAATTTCTTTCATTTTTTTCATACATACAAATTACACATTCACATTCACAAATAAAACACATACAAATAACATACACATACAAAAAAAAAAATACTAATGTAAAAACACATAAATGCATCATACACATATAAACATTCTATTTATAAAATGAAAGATGAAAAGGAACTTGTGGTAGTCTAATTTCGAAATTTTCCGGCAAAAATTCTACAGATTCGGCAACAACTCCGACAACAACACAACCTTAAATTAAAAGCTTAAACTAAGTAAATAAACATCAAAACATAAGAAGAATCGAAAATAGGGAAGAATTTCGACCTTAAATGGGTAAAAATTCCGGAATTGAAGTATGATCGTCTCCTCTTGGTCGTCGGTAATGGAAGTCTAGGTCGCCGGTATTGGTGGCAATGGAGGTTTGGACGGCGGTGGAACCTTTCGTTTGTGCAATGGAGGTTTGGACGGCGGCGTCGGTGGTGTAAGAAAGACCGGCGATGGAGAGAATGAGAGAAAAGGGCAGACAGAATACGTAGGAAACATCGAACTGGAGGGGTTATCTGCGCGGACCTTTAGCGGCGACGAGTATTAGCAGCGACGAATGGGTATTAACGGCGACAAGCCAGGAGGGAAAAGTCAGCGCCTTTTATCACGCCGTTACAACCGTTCGATTGAATACAGATCGAACGGATATGGTTCATTTGACGCGGATCGCTACTGTTGAGTATTAGCGGCAACGGCTTTAGCGGCGACACTGGGCATTAGCGGCGACATGTAACGCGTCATTTACATGTTGCCGCTAATGCCTAGTGTCGCTAAAGCCGTCGCCGCTAATACCCACATTTCTTGTAGTGTGTCTTTATACATCAAAGCTATCTTGGTCGCCCATAAAACATTTATGCAAATTTAATGTTGTTTAAGAGTTTGATCCAGCATGAGTGGTTAGTTGTGATTGAATATATTAGACTCACCTATAATGAGATGCACAGATATATAGTTCGATGCTTATTTCAATCGGAAAAGAAAATTCTTAAATATGTCATTTAACTTTATAGAACAGTATGCATTATAGTAAAAAATATAGAATTATATGAAAAGTGACGCTTTTCAAATTATCATTGATGCTATATCGAAAGAAGTGGTAGTCATCCAATGCATGCTTTCTTAACGAATCCATGAAAATTAAAGTAACTAGAAATAATAATTTTCATTATATACCTCACATGCAATCTAGTACTAGTTCATTCCTAGTTCCATCAAAGTAAATTGTAAACAAAAAAAAAAAAAACAAAACTAAAATTTAATGAACAAGTAACAAGTCATTACTTATTCTAACTACTAACTAATGATATACGCCACAGAAACAACTATGGGGCTCTTCACTAGGTGCTTTCCATCAGACCATATAAGTTCACCAAAAACGTAACCTTTAATCACTTTCGTGCCATCAGTTTTCACTGTCAGCTGAAACTTCTTTACTTCACCTTGCTTCTGAAAATTCAGAACTTTTGGTTCCACGTCTACCGATATCCCAACCGGGCTCCTAACACGAACTAGATAGATGCCAGGTTTATCAACATTCTTAAGTTTCCTTGTGACAGTGACTGTACCAGATAGTTTATGGACAGTTATGGAAGGGTAGTTTAAATCTAAGATGCCGTTGTTTGATTCTGGGCATTCGTAAGGGTACCCAGAGAACTTCTGAAGAATGGTTTGGTTGTATCCACTAGCGCAAAGAAAGTCAAGGTAGTCGTTTGCACTTATGTCGTAAACCAATCCTGGATCCATTGCACGGTTTGGGCAAATTTCTCCAGCTCCACGGCTGAATGGATTTGCCTCACTCTTACTGGCATCCATCATTGGCTGCCCCTCGTTGTCTCTTGAATTTGCTGCACGAAAACCATATCAACAATCAAACGCTAACCTACTACAATATAATGTATATAGAAGAAAGTTTAATAATTCATCTGAGGACTAGATGTACTTAATTAATTACCAGTTGTCATGATAGCGGATTTGATGGCAGCAGGACTCCAGTCAGGGTGAACGTTCTTGAGGAGTCCAACAACTCCAGAAACATGTGGGCATGACATAGAAGTACCTGATTCTATGTTATATGGTATGTCTGTTTTCGAATCTTGGGTGAACGCTGCAATGATATTCACTCCAGGTGCTGTAATATCAGGCTGTGTAAAATTCAAGATAGCTTTCAGTCACTTATTATCGATATAATTAACACTATTTATATATCTTTGGCAGAGAAAATTAAACACCTTGAGAATCCCTGGGGTGATTATATTTGGACCCCTGGAGGAGAAAGCTGCCATCGATGGAGCAGGTTTAATGTTTACCACAGGTGCAGGATGTGTGATGTACCCCAATGGATCCCTATAATAACATAATACATGTTTCTTGTCAGTAGAGCATATAACATGTCATGTAAGATATATTAGAGATAAAAGGATATTAATGAACTTACTTTGTAGAGCTGAGATAAGCATAGAGACGAAGCCCATCAGCATAAGTGATGTGTGTTGCTGGAATGAAGTGAGGATCAGCGATTATTTCATTACCACTGGACTTGTCATTACAAAGAATCATGCCAGAAGCACCAGCAAGACGAGCTACTTTTCCCTTTTCAACTCTTCCATTGCTTCCCCTTAGGCACACCAAAATCTTCCCATGCACCTTATTCGGATCGAGTGCACCGTCCTTGCAAAGCATCCTACACTCATATATACAATCACAAAACCTAAATAATGAAAAAGATTCAAGTAAAAAAAGTAAGTATAACATACGCATTCGTCATTGATGCATTTGCAGCTTTAGCATTTGCAGCATTAAGTAGAGGATACAATCTCTCAGCTGGCAAGGGTTTCGACAGGCTTAATCCCTGTTATTTTAGAATCGTCATGAATAAAAGTAAAGAACGTTATATATCTCACAAACGTGAACTACAACAAGTAAAAAAAAGTGTTTAAACCTTTAGGCGGAGTCCACTACGAAGTTCCACAAAAGCTTGAAACTCGCGATCGATTGTACTAGCTCCAACGGTTAATATCCAAGGAGCCACATTGGTGACAGTTCCAGGAGCGGGTCCCTCATTTCCTGCAGAAAACACGACGGTGATACCTTTCGCGATAGCATGGAAGGAAGCGATGGCTATCGCATCTTGGAAATAATCTGAAGGGGGGCCTCCAAGAGAGACTGATAATACATCAACACCATCTTCAATCGCAACATCAAAGCCTTTCAAGATATCTGCTTCTGTACATTCACCTCCCGTTATAGTTTGAGGCCAGCAGACTTTATACGCGGCGACCCGTGCTCTTGGTGAACCACCTTTGGCTGTTCCGTTTCCTATTCCATTGATACTCACTCCTGATACGAAGTTACCACCAGCAGTTGACAACGTGTGGCTACCATGTCCTTCATGGTCACGTGCATTGTTCATTGAAGTAGTCAAGGCTCCATACAAGGCTATGTACCCTTTGTTAAAGTACTTCGCACCAATAAGTTTACTGCAAAGATCAATAACTAGTATATAAATAATTGATTAAGGACACAAGAATTATGTATATCTTAATGCAGAATGAATGATAGAGATATGGCATATATCTAGCTAGAGAAAGGAAAAGTAACAATAATGCGTACTTGTTGCATGCTACTGAGGTTTGGTTCTCACATCCGCCCTTCCACTTTGATGGAATGGGCCCATAACCATCGTCACTGAAGCTTTGTGATTCAGGCCAAACACCTGATCGATGTAGGTGATATATATATAATTAAGATGTTCCATTGGTATTTAATTTTTTTAAACAAAATGAGTATATATATATATATATGAATGAGGATCAAAAATTGAAATCTGAAACTAGAAATTGATTAATTACGTACCAGTGTCAAGGTTAGCAATGATGATGTTTTTACCAAATTTTGCTTTCCTCCACAAAGAGGATGAATCAATGACACCATTTCTTTCAAGCTTCAAAAAATCCCAGGAATGGGTTGTGTGTAGTTTTAGCCCCTTATTTGGAAACACCGACACAACATCGGGATGATCTACATGATTTCAGTAAAAAATGTAATTCCCTGCACAGTAACATAATAAATAGTATGAACCTGTATATTGTAATTAGCATAGTAATTACCTGCAAGTTTAGCAGCAGCATCCTCGTCAAGAATAGCAGAGAAACCATTAATATGCTTATCGTATGAGTAAATCAATTCCTCATCAACACTCACTTTGCTGTACATGCAAAACATTATAATAATAATAATTAATTAGTACTTCCTAGCTTGAGGTGAAATGATATGTGTGTTTTTTTGTATTTACATGATGCATGCATGTATAGAGATTTACCTTCCTAAAATCGAACGAAGAAACTCAAAGTGAGACTCTTTAATCTCAGACGCTTCAAGTCCATTGTTATGTCCTCCCAAATAGACTATATAAGACTGCATCAATGTATACACATCAAATATTTAATCTAAAAGCTAAAGAAATTAAAACGATGAAGATCATGCATGCATGAATGCTGCTTCAAGTTGATAATGATAGACTTGAATAAGATCACATGCATGTGTACCTTTTTGCTGTTGAAGGCTAAAGAAGACCATTGGAGCGTACATATCAGAGTGATTAAGAGGGTTAGGAAACCTCTAAACAACTTCATCTTTAGAGGCCGGCTGCTTATGGAGTTTTAGGTGATAGGGTTCTTCATATATATATATATATATATATATATATATATGTAGATACGCAGGCGTAGGACTCGTAGTCTCATCCTAGTCTAAGAGCTTAATCCAATTATTAAGATAAATATGTGAGGTTTGAAATTTGAATTCTTCTTGTTTGTTGTTTAGGATAATTGATTATCTTTATCACCAATCAGTTAGCATATATATATATATATATATATATATGTCATCTATTACCTTTGAAATTTTCATGAATTCACCATAATAATCGGGATGGAGTTGCGGAGAACTGTTTTGTAGGATCTCCATATAACAACAATAGCTTATCTTCATTTTAATGCAACAACCATATTATGAAAAATCCGTAAATTGATAAGTAATTGATCATTTTGGATGTCAATTATTGGATATATATGGGCGTATTTAAATATTCTAAAATTATTTATTTTGATGTATTAGATTATTCATTATTCGTTGTAATATAGAATAATTATTAGATTTAAATAGAAATGATAATAGATATTTGGTATTGTGGATTAAAGATAATATGACGAATTTGGGATATTTTAAAGAAATATCAAAATTTTAGGGTGCAATTGAAAAGTTTGACATATTAAATTGTAAAATTTGAAAGTATGTGCCAATAATACAAAAACAAACGTCATTTCTCTTTTGTGTTCTAACATAAAACCATATAACTTATATGTTAAATATCTCTTTTATATAGTATAGGGATCTTTTGTGTCATTTATATCTGTATATATTGAAAGCAATATATCCGACCATAATCAATGGGTTTCCACAATACTCATCATGGTATAAAGCCACACATATGGCATCCTTCAGCGATGGATGTGAATCTTGTTTGTTGGACAAGTTGACTAAGTCACATTTCACTGGAACTTGTGAAATAGGTAAAAATTTATTAGACCTCATTCATATTGATGTATGCGGTCCTTTTAGATCTGCCACAAGAGATGTTAATCCCTACTACTTGACATATTGATGACTATAGTAGATATGAGTATATATCTAAATAATCAAACATAAATCGAAAACTTTTGAAAAGTTCAAAGCGTTTAAGCACGAAGTAGAAAATCAATTGGGCAAGAAGATAAAGATGCTCCGATCTAATCGAGGTGGAGAATATCATAGTATCGTGTTCAACGACTATCTAAAGTTAAGGGTTGAAGTTAAGTTCCCTTGCTTAAGCATATGTTTTTCTGTTTAGGTTTTTAGTTTTAGAAAAAAAAGTGAGTTGAAAAAAAAATGAAAAAGAAAAAAAAGTTATTAAAGTTTGTTGAATGAATAAAAATCTTACAAAGTATAATGATCAAGAATTATGAAGAGAAGTTGAAAGCTACAAATATTGAAGATTCAAGTTGAACAAAGTAAAGAATAAGGCAAATTGTCAGGTGGTTATTTATTGTAATTTTTCATTCTAGGTTATTTTACGATATATATGCTTGGGAGCTTAACTAAAAATTAATTTGAGATTAAGAAAGTTTTCAGGGTATGGATTCGGAGGGATACATCAAGTGAGTGTTGTTGAAAATAAGTGGGAAGTGTTTATGAGGATCGTAAGTATCTAGGGCTTGGGAAGTAATTAGGATATTTTGGACACAAATACATGCATTGAGGTTATGCGTAACTAGTGGTTTCAATTCGAATTGTTTTGTGTGATATTTGTAGGCAAGGTTCTATGTGATGTATTAAATCAAGTTTTGTTTGGGGCAAGTAAAAGGCAAATGTAGGGTATTTTGATATTGTCATATTTATACACACATACACACACACACACATATATATATATATATATATATATATATATATATATATATATATATATATATATATATGCTTTATTTTAATATATGTAACGACCAGAATCTTGAGGAGAAATTGTTGGGGAGTAAAACTTGTTTTCAGGTTAGACACGACGTGTTGGAGGAACCAACATGGCGTGTCTAGGGTGGAAGAATCGCGAAGATAAAATGAACCAACACGGCGTGTTGAGGTGCCTCAACATGACGTGTTGGCAGCTGGGAAGGAAACCCTAATTTTTAGGGTGTTGCACCCTATTTAAAGGCCTTAAGTCCATTTAGCTGGCCTCCTAATCAGCCTCCAATGTCATCAAAACCCTAAAACGAGTTGTATCCTCCATTGTCAAGCATTTGAGCCTTGGAAGAAAGTTTGGTGTTCATTTTGTGCATTGTGAAGGAGTTAGAAGATCTTGAAGTTTCTAAGCTTGGAGAAAGAAGTCTTAGATCCAGCACCACTACCCATTTTGCAAGGAGTTTGAGGTATCAAGTTCTTATCTTGATTGCTAGATGCTTAGATCTCTCTTTTGGGTTAAATTGTTCTGTTTTAGCCATGGTTTTGATGGATGTTGGGATTAGGACGTCCCAAAGCCTTATTCTTTTAGATCTAGGGTTTTCATGTACTCCTTAGGCAAAAAGGTGCAAGGTTTAAAAGATTCTAGGCCTCATGTATGCATTAAGTCCCTTATTAAGCCCCTCTTGAGTATTTGAGCTTCTCCTAGGCATGCATGAATGTAAAGTTGGCAACATTACGTGGTGTTCCAGCTCTAGAGTGTCAGATCTGCATTTTGGGGATTTGTCTTTAAAGATTAAGTGCTTAATCGTTAAGCCACCACTCTTTTAAGTCTAGGGTTTGTGTTTGGACCCATTTCGTTGGTTCCTTGGGGTAAAGTTGGAAACTTTACCCTTCTAGATCTCATTTTGGTCGAGATCTGATCTTTGGAGCTCTTGGATTCAATGAAGGAAGCTTACTGTATTAAGCAGTTGGGTCTTAGCCGAACGCGGCGTGTTTGTTGGTCAACACGGTGCGTTGGCTTGGTTTTTCCCAATTCAAAGTTGATGGAGAAACACAGCGTGTTGGGTCAACATGGATTCCTGATCTTGACTTTTGACTTTTGTCTTTGACCAAGTTTGTCCTAAGGGGTACTTGAGTGTAACATCCGGAATCTAGAAGGTTAATTATGGATATAAAACCTCATTTCTAAAGGTCAACTCGTCGAGTTTAAGGCATAAACTTGACATGTTGGAAGTGTTGGTCACGCGTGTTTTTGAAGACCAACTCGACGAGTTGGATGTGGTTTAGGAAACCCTAATTTCAGGATTTTGCACCCTATTTAAACAACTTAAACCCCATAAGTTGGCCTCATTTCCAGCCTCCATTGTCCTAAACCAACCTCGAAACCCTAAGGCATCTTTGAATGATTGTGAGCCATTTTGGAGTGTTTTTGTGTGTGTTTGAAACCATTGGAAGAAAGAAAAGCTTGGTGATATAAGAAGGAGCTGCTAGATCCCGAATCCTTGCTTCATTTTCTTCATCTTTCTGGTAAAAAGTTTCAACCTTGCTTGGTGATTTCTTAGATCTTCATCTTGGGGTTCTTTTGCTTGTTTTGGTCCAAATGTTGTGGTTTTGGGAGTTGGACGTCCCATTTGGGCAAACCCTTTCAGATCTAAGGTCATAGGGAGCTTTTATGGCATAAAGGGGCCAACTTTATGGCCCTACGAGCTCCATGCATCCATTAAGCCTTTGTTATGGCCTTTTAAGCTCATATTAGCCTTGCATGTGAGTAAAGTTGAAGACTTTGCAGGACCTTTTTGATGGGTTTTGAGCACTATAACATCCCTATGGTGCACATACAACCCTAATGCTTTGGATCTAATTTTTCTCTAGTTATACATCCAATAAACAATTTTCCAAAGCATGAAGCCTAAACCAGCATACAACTTGATATATGAATCATAAAACTAGTTAGAAGATTACCTTTTGTGTAGCTTGTTGTATTTGGCCTTTAAGAACTTAGCACCTCAAGTGTGATGCCTCAAATGGTTCACAAAACACCACTAACAATTGGAGAACTTGAGAGAGAGGTTAGGCACTCAAAATCAGCTATAGTGTCTCTAAGATCACTAGTGTGTACAATTTTAGTCCAAAGGGTTACATATATATAGTGTAGAATTCCAAGGGTTATGTGTAAATCCTAATTCTTACACTTGGCCTTGTAATGGACTAACACTATATGGATACTTACATAAGCTTAGCCTATCACTAATCAATCATGGAATATTAACCCAACTTATATATATCATTGATTTACACAATCAGCCCCTGTAGATTTAATTAATCTCTTTTGATCACTAAATTATTTCCAAATTAATTCTTGATCAATACTAATTAAATAATATGATTCCTCAATTAATATATTATACTTATAATATATTAATAAATCATAAATAACCTCTTTCTAAAATATCCATCATATCATATTGTTCTGGTGAATGCAACCGAAAATGGACCATGCTACTCTCGGGTCAAGTACATACCAATTATAGTTATGGGCTTAGACACCTAATCAAACAGTCTCCCACTTGGATAAGTTTAATAACTATAACTGCAAGTACAAATTAGAAACCGACTAGCAATCGTAGCTCTTAAAAGTCGCTGTCGAACTTTGACGCGCCATTTTAGATAAGGGATCATATAATACTCTGTTCTTCAAGATATCGTTCGGACAAATACATGGAACATAATCATACTTATTGTCCAGTAGTTTGTTTGCCGATTTCCGATTTGTTTGACATAGAACTTAATTGAACACATCAATTGAGTCCTGACCGGGCCCGACACATAAGTCAAAACAAAATCATCGAGGGGCCCAAGATATCGCTTTTAATCCTCCAAGGATTAAAAGGAACATATAAACTTTGACTTATATGCTTGTACTAACTACTCGTTAAATCATACACAATAGCACATTTTATAACATCAAGTTACCGATGCGTTTTCGCACTATCAATGTACAACCAACTCATAGTGAACAACTCAAATATCTCAGTTTGAAGACTATATGATATTATCGTCTCACAATCACTCGTGATAAATTTCATGAATTAATTTATGTGAGCGTGGGTTTAATCAAATACTAAGACCTTATGAGCAC